ACCACAAGATGGAGCCACACCTGATACCAGCCGAAACAGAGAACTTAATTCTATTATCTTGCTTAATGGACATAGTATTAAACTGCCCCCTAAGCTCTCTCTTTTTTTTTTTTTTTTTTTTGGTCTTTTTGAGACAGGGTCTCCCTGTATTCCCCAGCTGTCCTGGAACTCACTATGCAGACCAGGCTGGCCTTGAACTCACAGAGATCCTCCTGCCTCTGCCTCCCAAGTGCTAGAATTAAAGGCGTATGCCAACATGCCCAGCAGTTCTTATGTTTTTTAATATTTTTTAAAAAATATTTTATTTATGCTGGGCGTGGTGACGCACACCTGAGGTCAGAAGAGGGCATAGGATCTCCTGGAACTGGGGTTATGAAAGATTGTTAGCCACCATGTAGGTGCTAGGAATCGAACCCATGTCCTCTGGAAGAACAGCCAGTGCTCTTACCACTGAGCCATCTCTCCAGCCCCTACATTCTTATATTCACACCCGTAGTTTAGTGCATCTCTCAACCCTCATCAGAGAAGCCTCTTTTTGCAGTAGCTGGTGATCAACAGACACACAACTGCTCAGTATTGAGAATGAGACAGCGGAGCGGCTGGAGAGATGCTCAGCGGGGAGAAGGTAAAAGCCAGAGGAGGAACTTGCTTCCTGGAAAGAGACTTCACAGCTTACAAAGCACCTTGCAGGACAAACAACCTGGAAGGACAGACCACTTGGCAGGACACCCTGGAGCCCAGAGGAGACAGGCAGGTCCAAGCTTTGGCCAGGACGCTCATTCACACACACCTCTGTCCTCTGCTTAACCTGAGCGTCACGTGGGGTCCCAAAGACGGACGTGTCCCACCTGCCCCTTTTCTGCACCTCTTCCTGACGTGGCTACAGTGAATGTCTCATTAATTGGTGTATTGGGGAGGGGTGGACAAGCCCCTCACTGGGGCAGAAGCGCCTAGGCTCTAACACTAACAGCAGACAGGGGAGCCCCTGGAAATCACAGAGGCTCCCCAAAAAACTGTATCTAAAACAAGCATTTGATTGGGCTGCAGCAGCCCTGAGAATCCTGGCACATCTGGAAGATGGCTGCAGCAGGAAATCACATTAGGCAAAATAAGCCAAACTCATACAGATGTCTCATTTTCCCATGTGGAGTCTACATTTTACAGAGATACATGAACTCGCAGGACATGAAAACAGATGCAAGACTGTCGGAAGAGGGATTGGGAAGGAGAGGGAGGGAGGGTTGGATATTAGTGAAGCACACAATGTGGGGCTGGAGAGATGCTCAGCTAAGAACACTGGCTGTTCTTGCAGAAGACCCGGGTTCGAATCCCAGCACCCATATGGCAGCTAACAACTGTCTGTAACTACAGTTCCACGGGATCCAACCTCTTCTGACCTCCTCGGACATTGCACAACACAGGTGCACTTACCTACATGCAGGCAGTACATGCATACATTTAAAATAAAAATAAGTAAAATATGTTAAAAAAAATAAAGTACACAATATACTTCAATGAAAATGTCTATCCAGAGCCCCGTACTGTGAGTAATGAATGTAAGTTAATAAAAAGTGAGGGGCGGAGGACCAGTGGGGAAGGGGTATAAAGATGATTAAGATGTTCTGTATGAAATGCAGTAAAATTGTTTTTAAAAGAAGAATTTCAGAGGCCTTTACAACTGACCCTCCTCAGAACTGGCCCCCAACTACCTCAGTTCCCCGGTGACTTGACAGAAAGGTTAAATTGCCCAGGTCTGAGCGACTACGAGCTGTTGATTGTAGAATGGTCCTCTCTGTTGGGTTGGGTCGTTGCTATGCAGGCGGCTCTTTCCGTGTCCGGCGTGTCCGCCTCACATCACAGTGGTCCCCGTCTTCTATGGGAAGACCTATGTCTAACACCCCTCATGGCTCAGAACGCTGCTCTTTGCCTAGCTCATCGGTAGGCACACACAAGCTGGCTTTGGGGTGTTTTGCTGCTGAGCACAGATACTGGTCAGGGATGGGTAACAGCAGCTTCAGAGAGCAGCTGGGTGCCCAGACATAATCCTCGACATCCCTGCAGGAAGTCTCTGCAGGAAGCAGGAAGTCGCTTTAAGCCAAAATGTCAGGAGTTGCTATAGCACCTGAGGGTCATGAAATAACGGCAGGATCGGAACTGGAACCCAGAGCTCTGATTCCAACTTGACTTCATTTTGTGTATGGTTCCAGTGTCCAGGACCTCAGCCTCTTCTATCCCACACAGGACTGAGGGCCCGCACGGTCCCTTCCCACTGTCTCCTTGTGTCCAGACTGCATTCCTCTCAAGCTCCCTATCTCTTGTCATTCAAACATCAGTGAAAAGTTGTGAGTAAAGCAGAGGATGAGAGGCCAGTGAGATGGCTCGCTGTACAAACCTGACCATCTCACAACGGAAGAACTGATTCTCAAAAGCTGCCCTCTGACCTTGACACACATGCTGTGGCACACGTGCACCTGCACTCACACACATCCCACATAACATGCACTAATAATAATGATAATAACAAAATTTTAAGAGGCTAGGACAGAAGTCAATGAAATTACCAAAGGAATGAGCCAGTGGGGAAAACCACTACATCCCTCCCCCACTGCATTTTGGAAAAGCCATTTTTTGATATATTAAAAGACTGCTTGAGAGGGGAAAGGGTGGGGAGTGAATATGATTTTTTAAAATGGACATTTAAGGCCGGACAGGGTGGCGCACGCCTTTAATCCCAGCACTTGGGAGGCAGAGGCAGGCGGATCTTTGTGAGTTCGAGGCCAGCCTGGTCTACACAGTGAGTTCCAGGACAGCTGGGGCTACAGGGAGACCCTGTCTCAAAAAAACAGGAAAAAAAAAAAAAAGTACATTTAGTAAATGTCATAGTAAAACTTATCATTTTATAAATTAATCTGCGCTAATTTAAAAAAATAAAAATTTTTAAAAACTAAAAATAAATTGAGGGGCGGATGGGCCACTGCTGGGTGAGACAGCTGCCATAGAAAGTGTAAGGCAGACAGGAACAGGAAGCAGCCTGAGGAGCCAGCTTCTCCCTTCTCCCCCGACTCCCAAGAGAAGTGTAGTGGACAGAACCAGCCAAGGGCAGAAGGCAGGTTTGGAGCCAAGACAGCACAATTCACCTCTGCCTACCACACATTCCCACATACATACGGACCTCCAGCACGTACCAGAACAGCTGTCTCCTGAACAAGCAAATGTCCTTCACAGGAAGGTGCTCTAAGCTCATCTAAGTCCCAGGCCAGCAACATACCAGGTAAAGGCATCCCCGGGACTCACCTGGTAGAGGGAGAGAACTACCTCCTACGAGCTGTCCTCTGACTACATGCCTGCCCGCCCACCCAAAAACACAAAATAATCATTGTAATATAAATTGCTAAATCCCAGAGCTGACAAGATGGCTCAGCAAGTAAAGGCATTGGCCACACAAACCTGGTGCCCAAGTTCAATCCCCAGAACCTATGTAGAGGTAGAAGACACGCCACAAATTGTCTTCTGACCTGCATTTTAAAATTTTCTATGAAAAAAGAAAAAGCTTGACTTCCCTTTGTTTCTTTCTGCCAAGCCGTCTATGAACCCGTCTATGAACCCATCTCCTCGGCTCATGTTTTCTGCCGTGCTGAGGACTCCAGAATCAAAGCTAAAGTCAGTCAAGATCATCAAAGTAGCAGAACAGCAGGCCAGAGCCCCGCTGACCCGTGCAAGGCCAGGTGAGCACTCAAGACAGCCGGCGGCCTCTAAGCCAGAGCAGCAGTCCCCTCCTCCGAACTGTGAGGGGTGAACACTGGGGGTCAAGGGCCTGACCTGATACCAAGCCCAAAGGGCCAGACACCAGTGGTCAACGAAGGGCCAGAAGAGCCAGGTGATGGGCTATGGGTGACCTGGGGCCAGCTCAGGCAAGGCAGCTCCCCTGCAGAGGCCACCACCAGGGAAGGTGCTGGAAACAGCACTGGGCTTTGCAGTAGAGGCCATCTGGGGCCACAGGGGCCTCACAGCATGAGCCTGGCATTTCCCCTTCCAGGGAGGCATTCTGAGAGCAGGGAAGGAGGGTTTCTAGGTGGCAGGAAGAACTCCAACTGGGGACGTCGTGCTGGGTGAACTCGAGCCTCCCAGGAACTTCTGGTCAGACTTCTTGGGCCAATGACCCTACTGTGGCCCAGCTGGGTTTCTCTAAGGCCACCTTAGACAGTGTGGCCCTGCCACAAATCTGGACTGGGGGCCCCCAGGGAATAGCCGCCCATCCTCAGGTCACTGTGCCCAGGAATCCACTCTGTTCCCAGGGGGACGTCTGCCGCCTGGCTGGGACAAGGCGGCAGACTGGGTTCTCCAGGGCCCATCAGCTCTGTTCTGCTGCCTGCTCCGCAGCCCAGCATGGAACGCAGGCCCTCTGCCACGCTGGGCAGGCAGCACTGAGCTGCAGCCCAGCACGATTTCCTCACCATCTAGTTTTGCACCACAGTGCGTCAGGGCAGCCCTGCTGGTCTCCATCTCGCTGCAGTCCTGCCACTTCTCTGCCTTCTTAGTGACAGGATTAGCATGCAGCCATGCCTAGCCGGCTGTTTGAATCTGGCCTGCCCTGCATGGCCTGGTGGTCACCACCATCCAAGGTGACCATGTCAAGGGATGGCCCAGAGGCTACCATATTTACTCACGTAAAAATGTGTCACAATTCAAAATGTCCCACATAGGAGTCACTCTGTCATCAATTTTTACAGCGTCCCCATGACAACTCAATATTCCTTCAAAACCTATTTACACAGCCAGCAGATGGTTCAGTGCAGGTCTGACAGCCTGAACTTGACCCACAGAGCCCACACAAACATGGAGAACACACAAAGCTTTCTGTGACTTCCACACACATGCGATACACACGCACACATTCTTCACAGGAATAGACATTTAGAGCGGAGGTACCTCCTGGAAAGAAACCCAGCCCCTCAAACGATGCTGACTTAGTCATCACCAAAGAACGAGGCACGAAGGAGTCATGGAAACGGCCGTTTATTAGCAGCGCACGGACTGCTGGACATAGTGGTTTCCAGGACATCGGTGGGGGAAGCAGCTGGCGAGCAGCACTCACTTCCACTGGTTCTTGTCGTAGTCCCACTTGGCGGAGAAGCCCTGGATGGGGTTGGACTTCATGTCGAGCATCCGCTTCGTCTGCATGGCCACCCAGTCTTGATCAAAGGTATGTGGGACGGGGCCGTACACTGCGGCACAAAACAACTGTGAGAACTGTGCTCTCCCGGTGACCGACCCAAGCCTCACAAGGCTCAGGACACACACACACCTCCGGTCAGCACAGCCACGGGCTCAACTCCACACACACATGTACTTTAATCCAGGGCGCTAACAGCCGAGGTTTCAGAACTATACCTCTGCTCGTTAAAGGTCTGAGGAGATCGCTAAGCGGAGCGGAGTGACTTCCCAGCCATCTGGGAGAGGTAGGTCTGCAGGCTGCACAGCACCGTCAGGGGCAATGCTCCCAGGCCGGTTCTGTACCCTCTGCAGCCACGCTCGTGCAGCCATGTACCTGCTCAGACTGCAAAGCTATCTGACCTGGACAGACGGCACCTGGAAGCAGCACAGGACGGGCCTGACATCCAAAAGGAAGGGAAAGACCCCGAAGCCCAACTGCTGAGCAGCAGCCAGACAGCCACTCGGCAATGAGGCCTGCTGGATACAGCACCAGGGCCACTGTGGACACGTGACTGAGCAGATCCAGTACAGCTGAACACGGGGTGTGCAAAGAGGCCCACCTTGCTGTCATGAGATGGGTGGCCATGAACACATCAGGCTCTAGTTTACAAACTTAGCCCCCATAACTGCAGCAGCCCAGATCTGAGGACTAGCCTGGTCAAACCCTGGACAGAGGTCCCTCTCCCAGGTTCTGAAGTGCAAGGACCCCGCAGCACCAAGGCTGACACTTCCTGGCCGCCGCATCTCCCCCTCCTCCACTCACCATAGCGCTTCTCCCAGACCAGAATAATGGCGGTGAAGCCGATGAAGAACATGGCCATGCCCACGACTGTCTTCCACTCGTTGGTGCCCCTGTTCATCTCAGCGAAGCTCTCATTAAACTGGATGCGGTACACTGGGCAGAAAGAGCCATGTGCAGGGGACACAGCCTGCTTCCCAAAGCAACCCACCCAGGGCCAGAGCAGGCTAAGCCAGAGTGCTCACCCTCACCAGCTCAGGGCAGACAGACTCTGGATAGCCTGAGGGCTGTTGTCTCCTCAGTGAATGGCTTATCCTCCCGCACACACCTGAAGGTACATCTCCATACCCTGCTCCTCCCAAATGCTAAGCACCCAGACCCATCAGGGGTCAGCTGGCCTAGCAGGGGCATCTCCCCTCCACATGCCCACACTACTGGATTTGCCTGCATATTACTGGGATACCTACACTGGACTTTCTCATCCCTGGTCAGGCTGTTCCAGTCTGTCTTCTCCTTCTCCTTCAAGGCCTTCTGGCTGGCAGATAGCAGCTTGATGTGGGCCACATCAGGCAAGGGGTAGTCACGCCGGTCAACATAAACAGGGAGAGAGTAGTCTTCACTCTTCACCACACTCCCTAAAACACATTGGATCAATCTGAAAACCATGTGGGTGGGAGTCCAGGCAGAAGGTGACACAGGGGCAACAACAGTCAGGTGGAAGCACTTGATCCAGCAAACCAAACCAGCAGGGTTTAGTCATGAGGGGAGGGGGGCCAGAGCTGAGGGTTCATCACCTGGACAGGCAGCTGGACTAGAGGAAGGCCCAACCTCAGGGACACAAGCTAACAAGAACAGGAAACTCAGAAGGAAAGGCAGCTTCTGCATAGAAACCGGGATCACTGTGACCCACAGAACCTGGGCTGGCCTTGGACAAGGGCACCTCAGAGCCAGCAGTCATTCATCTGTCAAGGGTTTACCGAGTACCTACTGCTCACTGGAGCTGGCTCTAGGCAGCAGTAGGACAAATGAACCTTCCTGCAGTGGAAGCAAAGCAGACCTGACACATGCAGGTCACAAGTAGACATGTTCGTGGCTGGAAGCTGATCCTGACACTCCCAGGAACAAGTGACCCACATGGCAGAACTGTGTGTTCAGTAAGAAACAGAGCAAGTTAGTTCTGGGAAACGTAAACCACTTTTGTGTGCGCTCATGAATATGACTGTTCGAACAGGCAGCAGTGAGTGCTGGAGAGCTCTTGTGCTCCACCGCCTCAGAATGAGCGAGGGCCTGTGTGTCCCACAAACCAGGACAGAACTCAGAAGCAGGAAAGGAGGCAGAGCCTCTGAGCATTTCCCGTACTCCACCTTACTGGCTGCAGAGTGGAGCCAGCACAGCGGCTCTGCTTCAGGGAACTCAGCCACAGCTAAACGTCCAAGTTATCAACACACCTGTAAGCCCCAGGCAGAGCTGTGGTTCTCCAAAGATCCTTGGAGACATTTCTTAGCAGGCAGGCAAGCAGTGAGCCTAAATTCCTAGGCTCAACCTCACCCCTACAGGACTTAAAGGACAAATGCCTAGACTTCAAAGGGGCCCAGGCTGGGTTAAGTAAACTTCAGATAGATTGAGGCTGGAAAGTGACTTGACTCGGCCTGTTAAGAGCACTGGCTGCTCTTGCAGAGGACCTGGGTTCAATTCCCAGCACTACATGGTGGCTAACAACCATTTGTATGTAACTCCAGTTCCAGGGGATCCAATACTCTCTCTGACCTCCATGGGCATTGCAAGACACAGGTGCAATTACATACATGCAGGCGATACACTCTTAACACATAAAATAAAAATAAGTAATCTGGGGAAAAACACATGTCAGCTCCTACTGTCTCAGCTTCCAAACGCTGCCCACCCCTCCCTTTCCCATCCCCCAGCCCTGATAAGCAGCCCACCAACTGTGCCTCAGGTGCCACCTCACTGTTCTTAACAAATAACAGTCTGCTCCTGTCAAGCCTCATCTAACATTTTCTAACATCTTCTGACATTTGGAGGCTGAGGCAGGAAGATCTCACATTGGAAGCCTGAAGGCACTACACAGAGTAACACTCAAAATACAGAAAAATTGACCAAAAAAAAAAAACGATAGCCGGGCATGATGGTGCACTCCTTTAATCCCAGCACTCGGGAGGCAGAGGCAGGCAGATCTCTGTGAGTTCGAGGCCAGCCTGGTCTCCACAGCGAATCCAGGCCAGCTGGGGCTACAGGGAGGCCCTGTCTCCAAAAAAAGAGCTGCATACTGAAAATTCTTACCAAGTTCAATAGCACCCCCACACACACACACACACACTCTATACCATTAAATGTAAATTGAGAATGTTCTAGAATCAATTAACCTGGTGCTAATGGCACAGGGAATATACAAACAATGGAATGTGTACAATTTGAGTAAATGTGTTATGTGAGCTACGCTCATAAAGTTATTAAAAAGCTGTAAACTCCCATGGTCTTACAGCACACCAGCCATAAAATGCAGTACTGCAGACCGGTTTATCCCCTAGGTGATCTCCAGGCTCTGGTCTCCAGGAATGAGAAAGCAGAGGCTCCCACACCAACCTTCCTTTTTTAAAAAGGGGAGAGAAAAGCTAAGGTTTTGCATTAGCTGGAGCTCCACACTGCCCTACACTTGAGGAACTTGCTAGTCATGTGTGGTTCCTAGACCCTGGAACTGGGCACATGTGGTTCCTAGAACTTAAGACCCCAGACTACAGTTCTTCATCTGCTGACCAGACCAAACCCAAAAAAATCAAGAAGATGACAGTCAAGCCAAGCTGGAAATGTGGCCTTGTGACTGACTAGTGTCGTGGAACACATCAGCACTCTACCGATGACTGAAAGATGGCTTCACTGAGAAGTCAGAAATCGCAGTGCTGACGATCTGGCCTCGAGGGACATGGACATGGCTCTTTTCAACCACCGCCCAAGGGCTGCACTTCACCCTACTGATCCTTCAGGGGCAAAGCCTCTAAGCCTCTTCGCAAAGCCCTGCGTCAGGCTCATCAGTCCTGCTCTGGGGCCAGCACTGTCTACACGCTACCTCAACGCAGCCAACCCTGTCCACACTGCCTCCTCCCCTGGAAAGCTCCACCGCTCCCTCTTTATCCCCAGGGCCTAAAGTGCCTGGCATAAACATGACCCATAAATGCAAAGCTGAAGGCACAGAACTGACGTGTGTGTGTGTGTGTGTGTGTGTGTATGTGTGTGTGTGTGTGTGTGTGTGTGTATTCACGTGTGGGCGGGGATACTGCAGTAAGTTGTGAAGTGTAGGCTTTTGCACCCCGCGTTTTTGCCGGGCATCCGAGGAAGCGAAAGCAGAACACAAAACTCTTCGAATTTTCTTAAGCAACCTCTTCAGGAGAGGAAAGAATCTCAAACATCGAAACTAGTCATGACAGAAATGGGGTTCAAACCTGGCTCAGGCACAAGCCCAGAGCTTTGCTTCCAGGGTCTTTATAGTGTAGATGGAGAGGCTGCGGGGTTGGGAGCTGGACAGAACAAGTCAGGAATAGAGAAGCCATCTTGGGAGAGGCAAAAAGAGCAAGTGTGGAACATCGACAAAGAACTGCAGCAAAGACCTGGACTAACCCTGACAGACCTGCAGCCTCCTCCTCCGAGCCAAAGGCCCTGCTCCAGTACTGGTCTCTCCCTAAAATCCCTGCAGGACCCAGCTGGCATGCATCTCTGTCTAAAACCCCAGCACTAGCTGGGCGTGCAGAGGCAAGTGAATCTCTGTGAGTTTGAGGTCAACCTGGTCTACACAGGGAGTTCCAGGCCAGCTGGGGCCACAGGGAGACCCTGTCTCAAAAAACAAAAGCCCAACCCAGGGCCTGATATAGAGCAGGAACAAAGTCACTATCTCAGCCTATTTAAGTGAAAGTCCCACTTACCATGCGCTCGAACACACGCGGAGGTGGAAATGGCTCGCTTGCCAATTAGGCTAAGTGCCCTGGTAGCCAACATTCTGAAAGACAGAAAGACAAACATACAGTGCTAACAACGCTGGCGAACACCTACTAATGAGAAGTCTTTTTGGAAGTAAATGAATTCACTCATCCCAACCTTAAATGACATTTAGCCTAACTTCATTAGGTTTATTTCTTTTTTATTTTTATGTTTTGCCTGCGTGTTATGTTATACATGCACCAGGGTTGTGCAATACCGGTGGCAGTCAGAAGAGGGCATCAAATCCCCTGGAAGTAGAGTCATAAGACAGTTGTTAGTCTGTGATGAGGATGCTGGGAAGAACTGGGTCCTCCACCACTGAGCTGTCTCTCCATCCCCTTCATTAGGTTTCCTGAGACAGTGCCTCACCAGGTAGCCCAGGCTGGCCTCTACCTCCCAGGTGCTTCATGATATCAAACCAATACACACACAGAGTGAGAAACATATTCTTTGGGCCAATTATTGTAAAACTGGTCTTCTTAAAAACCAAGCAGAGTCTGGAGAGATGGCTGAGCAGTTAAGAGAACTGGGTGCTCTTTCAGAGGACCTGGGTTCAATTGCCAGCACGCACATGGCAGCTAACAACTAACCACAACTCCAGTGGATCTGACACCCTTTTCTGACCTCCATGAACATTGCAAGACACATGTCACCTACATACAAGCCCAAGCAATGCACTCACACACATAAAACAAGATAAAAGTCAAGTAGCGGGCCCAGGGTGGCAGTGCACACCTTAACCCCGCACTCGGGAAGCAGAGGCAGGTGGATCTCTGAGATCCAGGTCAGCTGGGGCTACAGTGGCCATGTCTTAAAGACAGGAAAAAAAAAAAAAAAAAAAAAAAGAGTAAGGGAAAGACTTCGACCACTGGGGTGCGGTGGCCGTGGTATGACCACAAATCACACGCACATGGATATTTATTTTAAAAACCCATGTGCGCAGAGGCTGGGACAAACCAGAGACGGAGACGGTTGCAGCCGGCGGTGGCCGGATTCCAAGCCCTGCGGGAACCTGTACCACTGTCACCAGGCCCCCACGGAGGACCGTCGCCCCCCCAGAGAGGACCGCGGACCGTCATCTTCCCACGGAGGACCGTCGTCCTGCAGGCCCGCAGACCTGACAGGGATGCCCGGGCCGCGCGTCAGCGGACGCCCCAAGGTCACGCGCGGCCCGGGCTGGCCAGAGCCCCGGACCCGAGTTCGCGCTCAGTCCGCAGCCCGGAACCCCACGGCCGCCTCAATGTCACCGCGCCCCGGGCCCGCTGCGCCCGCGACACAGGCCGAGGACGCGGACCACTCGGTAGCTCGGCGCTCGGCGGCTACTCGGCTGCTCGGCTCTCGTCTGGCGCTCGGCGCTCGGCTCGGTCCTCGGCTCCGGCCCCACCGCCCTCCGCCGCCTTGCCTTGCCTTCCCGCACCTCACCTGCCGCCGCTGTCCCTGACGACCGCCGCGACCGCCCTCTGCGCCCCGGCAGCTTACAACCGGAAGAGCGAGCCCGCAGCGGAAGCGCGACACCCTGCCGCGGAGCACGATGGGATGAAGCGAGCCCCGCCCGCGTCCGGCCGGCCGAGGAGGCCGCGAACGTCGCAAAAGGCCGCGAGGCGCTGCTTTCCGGCGGGCCCTGGCGGCGGCGATTTACGACGTGCGGGCGGGCGCCGGGCGGGAGCCGGGTTGAGGGCGGCTGGTGCGGCGGCTGCAGGCGTCGGCTCCCGGCCGTTCTGGCGTCCGCGCGGGCTCAGTATGCCCGGCGTGAAGCTGACCACCCAGGCCTACTGCAAGATGGTGCTGCACGGCGCCAAGTACCCGCACTGCGCGGTCAACGGGCTGCTGGTGGCCGAGAAGCAGAAGCCGCGCAGGGAGCACCCGGCGGCCGCGCACACGCTCTTCGTGGACTGCATCCCGCTCTTCCACGGCACGCTGGCCCTGGCGCCCATGCTGGAGGTGGCGCTAACCCTGGTAAGCGGGACACGCCGGGGCCTGGACGCCCTGCCCTGGTCCTCCTGCCAGGGGCCTGGGTCTCCGCTCGAGGTTTGCAGTTGCAGGGCGAGTCTGTACCCCGAGGGATGGCGGCGAGTGTCGTGCATGGCCCCGGGGCTTCCGTGAGGCCAGGAAGCCAGAAACTCGTCGTGGTGTGCATGCGTGTAAACCTAGTGGAGGGAGGAGGAGCAGGGAGCCAGCCTCAGCTATCTAGTGAATTTGAGGCCAGCCTGGGCTACAGGAGACCTTGTCTCAAACATACAGGGGTGAGGGAGGTGGGGCGTGTGGTGCCAGCCTTTAATCCCGGCTCTCAGGAGTCAGAGACAGGCGGAGGCCAACCTGAACTACATGGTGAGTTCCAGGCCAGGCTGGGCTACAGGAGACCCTGTCTTAAAATTACTGGAGACAGGCGGGCGTGGTGGTGAGTGTGGGCGCACCTTTAATCCCAGCACTCCTGAGGCGGAGGCAGGCAGATCTGTGAGTTCAAGGCCAGCCTGGTCTACATAGTGATTTCCAGGACAGCTGGGGCTACAGGGAGACCCTGTCTCAAAAAGACCAAAAATAAGTAAATTAACAAATGCAGGAGAAAAGAAGGAACAGATGTATCTTCTGTCCAGTGCGTTTCTGTGTGTGCAGGCCCCGGGTTCAATTCCCGGCACCAGGGAATCCAACGCCCTCTTCTGCATTTCATAGCGTGGGTGCATGCATGCATGCAATACACTGATAATGTAAAGTTTTAAATAATAAATTTATTTTTTAATTATAAATTCACCAACTTGTTACAAGTTGAAGTAAGCTATGGCCTCACAGGACCATCCGTGCTCAGGCACAGCCTCGTTTTCATCGAAGAATGAGCCTCAAGGCCAAAGGCAAGTTTGTAGAAGTGCAGGTGAGAAGGCATCCCATCTCAGCGCCCCACCAAGTAAATGAATCCATCTCCTTTGGTTTTCTTGAGACCAGGTCTTGCTGTATAGCCCAGGTTGGCCTCAGTTCCCAGCACTCCTGCCTCAGCATCCTGAGCCCTGGAACCACCATGCCTGCCTACCCATTTCTCAGTTACTATGACACCGAAGTAAATTCTTGGCCAACAACAAGGGCCTTTGGGCAAATGCTCTAAGGTATACCACCAGGCACTCTTTGAGTGTCTTAAAGTTAAATGGCGTAACCGTGGTATTTTTCATATCCTTTCTGGGCAGGAGGTAGGTAAGTGGGTAGTATTTATAAACTCACCTATTTTAATTCCTAAAGAAGTGTGCCCGGTGCCTGGAGCATCCCCGGAGACTCTTTAGGCCGCTGTCTTAATGGTTCTGATAGCAAGGGAATTGCAGGGAGGCTGGTCTGGAGTGTTTCCACTTGGCAGGCAGCTGCCTTCCCTGGTAGCATTTAGGCAGGATTGTTGGGGTCTGAGCGTGACCTGCAGCCATGGCTTGAACTTGACCTTGCAGCCAGCCAATGGCACAGTACTAAAGAATAACCACTTCTGGTGAGGTTAAGGACAAAGTGCAAAGGTGAGCTAATCCAGGCTGGGGTGTAGGGTAGGTAGGCGGCCCGGAGGAAAAGGCACTCAGGTAGTGGGCCAGCCCCTGTCACCCAGGGTGAGTGTGGGACAGTGTTCAGGCCAGAGGGACCAGCACATGCAGAGATTACAGAAACAGTGATTGGAGCAGTGCAGGGCAGTGTTTGCGGAGAGGTAGAGGGTGGGACATAAGGGTGTAGGAACAGAGATGGGGTACTTTATTGCTCCCCGAAAGGTGAGGGGGGGCTCATCAGAATTCAGGTCTTATAAAGTGGTACCTGCAGGCTGCTGCAGAGGACGAGGCATGTATTTGAAACAAGACTGACTCGCAGGTGGTGAACCGAGTGCGTGCTGGGTAGGGTGGATCAAGCCTGGGGGTGGACAGTCCACAGATCTCATTGCTCATCACTGTGGACAGGTCCTAGGAAGGGCCTGAATTTCTGGCATTTGTGCTGGGAGCTCAGTGGTCTGACTTGTTCAGGGGCCGTAGCAGAAAGTAAAGGACAGTGTCATGTCGTGTTGGGACGAAGTCCTGGTGCTGAGAGTCAAAAGGTGGGTCTGGACTGGAGGCGGACATCCAGAAGAGGCAGAGCTTCCCGTAATCTGAAGCCTTGAGAGCTGGTCACATGGCCTAGGGATGCTGCATGGCCAGGAAGCTGGCTCTTATGCGGTGGGTGGAGGGAGAAGTCACAGGGCCGCTGAAGAACGTCCAGAGGGGTGAGGGAAGATCCCACGCTTAGGAGCTTGAAGCCAGCCTTGCCTGGAATATCTACATTACGCTCACTTACTCTATGAGTGCGCTAGAAGAATTAGCATACTAACCCTCCTTTCCTGAATTTCCCCAGGGAGCAGGGCTGCCTCCCAAATCACCTCCTGGGGGAAAGAGAGGGCCTGGATTCAAGAATCAGGCAGCACTACTGGGCTGAGAGTGGAGGGGCCCCATTCTGGGCCCCCCACCCCCATCACACTCTGCTTTCCCAAGAGCCGCTCAGCTCCTGCTCAGCGTCAGGTCCACATTGGACCCCGAGCTGCAGCTTCTCTGCAATGGAGAGCAGTAGCTCCTTTTGTCTTTGCTGAGCAGTGCTGGTTTATAAGGGTCATTTCTTAAGTTCATCAGAACCCTGGGATACACATGGGCTCAGCACTTGACAAAGATGACAGGTGATGGGTGCCAACAGATGAAGAAAACTACAGAGGGGCTGGAGATCTGGCTCAGCTAAGAGCACTGGCTGCTCTTCCAGAGGACCCAGCACCCACATGGCAGCTAACGACCGTCCATAACCCAGTTCCAGGGAGGCATTGCATGACATGGGTTTTTTAAGTTACCAAGAAAAATGCACAGCTGGAGTTCATGCAGAAATCATTTACCACAGTTAGGTTTATCATTTTGATTGCTTTTATTTATTTGTATGGGGGACAGATTCCAGAGCTTGCCTGGGGAGGTCAGAGGACAGCTTTCAGGAATTGGTTCCCTCCTTCCTTCCACTATGTGGATCCTGAGGTTAGAACTCAGGTCATCAGACTTGACAGTGGGTGTCCCAACCCGCTGAGCCATCTCACCAACCCTTACTGCAATTAAGTTTCTTAAATTTGTTTTCTTTTTTGACTTTTTTGAGACAAGATCTCCCTGTAGCTCCAGATGACCTGGAACTATGTAGACCAGGCTGACCTTGAACTCAAAGAGATCCACCTACCTCTGCCTCCCAAGTGCTCAGATTAAAGGTGTGTACCACCATGCCTGGCCTGAATTTGTATTTTTTCTTTTAACGTATATGAGTGTATTGCCTGTATGTGTGTAAGTGCACCTGTGTTGTGCAGTGCCCACAGAGGTCAGAAGAAGGCATCAGATCCCCTGGAATTTGAGTTACAGATGGTTGTTAGCCACCATGTGGGTCCTGGGAATTAAACCTGGCTCCTCTGCAAGAGCAGCCAGTGCTCTTAACCACTAAGCCAGCTCTCCAGCCCCTAAATTGGTATTTTTTTTAATTGGTATTTTTCTTAATGTGTATGAATGTTTTACCGCAATGTATGTAGGTGCACCATGTGTGTGCAATGCCCACAGAGCCCTTGGAACTGGAGGGCATCAGATCTCTTGGAACTGGAGTTACAGTTGTTAGCCACCATGTGAATGCTGGGAACCGAACCCTCAAGAGCAGCCAGTGCCCTTAACCCCTGAACCATCTCTCCAGCCCTGACATCACTTTGTGACTAAATGGGTTTTACACTGAGGGCCATGGAGGAGCTCAGCTTTAGAGCCAGGACCTATCAAGATACCACTTCGGAAGATGAGTTTTAACAGGGCAGCTAAGTCCCTGCAGCCAAGTCAGGGAGGCCCCGCCCTGTGGCTCTTGCTTTTCAAGGAATTCCTGCTGGAACTATTTCTGAGTGTGGGAAGGACTGGCTGTCCATTCCTTAGTATGGTTCCATCCTCGGCCCAGCAGCACTCTTCTGTGGAGGGCTTCCTATTAGAGTATTCCCTTTTTAAAACATGCTTTCTGGGTGCTTTCCATTCGGTTAAGGGCTTATGCCTCTTAACCTACCTACCCTCACAGCCCTTTGATGTAGATAGTAAAGGAATTATTCCTAATAGCTCAGACCCATAAAAGGGTGGTGGGAAATTAGCATAAACCTGCTTCTCTAAGCCCTCTCTGTCCTTTCCCCATGCCTTGATCTCTGCTGCCGCTGAGCAGCTCTGCAGAGGACTTTCTTAGTCTGCCGTCCGCCTGTCCCCGCGATGTGGTTTCAGGCCAGCTGCTTTCTGCTCCTCCACGTGGCCTGCTTCATGCTTCCTCCCACAGCCAGCCCCTAGACCCTATTGCTAGGCACATCTCCCTCTAACAGATGGAGAGGAGTCCCATGTACAGGGCCTAACAGGAATGAATTTGTTGGCCTTGGTGCATTCAGTAGACCTCTGGCACTGGCACAGAACACACCCAAAGGGCATCGAACAGAGGGAGGCAGGTTCATGCCCAGGTGAAAGCTTTGTCCTTCCCCCCCATGAGAGTTGAAACCCCCTGAGGTGTCCGTGCCAGTCACCTGCTGCACTGACACGTGACACAGGCGTGGACGTTGTTGAGTTTGTGTCTTCCTTTGGTTTTCACGAGAGGCGTGGGTTTTCATACAGCGGGGCTGGGACGTGGAAACACGTCCGTCAGGAGCAGAGGCCAGATTCTGGCTTGTGCTTTGTCTTGGCCCCTTGGGAAAGGAGATCGACTTTTGTGGACAGCCACATCAATCCACCCCAGCTCTTCATGCACGAGCCTGTTGGGCTTCCTGCAGGAGTCCGAGGCCTGCCTGCCCCTCTCACCCAGCCACACAGCCAGCTTCTTCCAGGATCTCGCTCACCCAGGCCTCTCACCTATGCCTAGTTCCCTCTCCTCAAAGCATGTTCACCCTGACTGAACTCGTGGCAGGGTGGAGTCTTCCTCAATTGGTGGAGAGACTGTGCATCCTAAGCACCCGTGACTTCACTGGGTTTTCGTGTAAGTCACTTAGCAGGTCCTGGAGCCAAGCCTGTGCGATAGGTCCACGGGTGAAGCTGCTTGTTCCCAAGCCTGACAAATCTGAGTTCGGTTCCTAGAACCCAGGAGGGAGAGAACCGGCTCTGACAAGTTGTCCTCTGACCTCCATATGCACACCGTGGCACATGCATTTGCACACATGTGCACACACAGTAAGCCAAGCCTGTGTCTTTGTGGCCTGGCTTACTTATATAAATGCAGCTTTCCATGGATGTCCAGAGGTTCCCAGGGTCCTGACGCTCCTGCTGCTGGAGTTTGGCTGGGTGCCTGGAACCTTCACTAGGTCTTTATCCTCAGCAGACCCAGCATAGGTTGAAGTGTGTGTCGCTTTGTCACAGGACTCCACCTCGGTGTCAGGTGCTGTCTGTGCTCTGGAGACAAGTTCAGGGTGATAGAATGTGTTTTGGGACATGTGTGTCCTGAGCCTTTGGCTTCAGAGTCAGATTAAACTGCAGACTGCTGGGGTGGTCAGGTGCCAGCAGGGAGCACAGTTGTCCAAGGGGCAAACATGAGCACAAGCTGTGGTCAGCTGCCTGTGCTGTGGAGAGACAATCCTGAGTCCTGTATAGGACCAGAGGAAGCACAAGGGTCCTTAAATGAGGAAGGGAAGAGGCAGGAGAATGAAAGCAGGTCCGGTGAGGGGCTGAAGGCCCAGGACCCAGGTGAGAGAACGGGCCCAGGGCCCATGGAAGGAGCCAGCCCCACCCCATTGTAGAATCCACATCTGTAAGTTAAAGATTAAATTGATTTGCCAGGCATGGTAGCGCATGCCTTTAATCCCAGTACTCAGGAGGCAGAGGCAGACCAATCTCTCTGAGTTCAAGGCCAGCCTGGTCTACATAGTGAGTTCCAGAACAGCTGGGACTGCAGGGAGACCCTGTCTCAAAAAGACCAAAAAAAAAAATTAGTATTGATTGAAGCCACCTATGTTGGGGTAACTTGTTTCAATAGAGGTAGGAAACTAAGTGGAAGCCAGAGTGACCCTGAAATACGGGCAGCCCTCCTCCCTAAGAGCTGGACAGAGGCGGGGGTCACCTCCAGCAAGGACACTCAAGATCCCAGCTTCAATTCGAAGCAGAGCTGGGGGCTCTACACCAAAGACCAGAGAATCACACGGGTTTGAGTTCAGGGAGAATGGCCAAATCCCAAATTTAGAGGGAGGCCCTCTTAACTGTTTGGGGAGGGGAAAGAAACTTGAGGCTGGAATGGTTTCTAGCATTGTTCCCCTAAGAGGAGAGAGACAAATGTGATTAGCAGGTGTGCGCAGACTTGGTGATGGAGCCATTATAAATAATTGGGGACGTAACCTCAATTTGGGTGGGTGATCAGTATTTTTATGAGCTGTAATTTTTGACCCAATATGGTAATTCTCAAGGTCTTAGGAAATCAGAACTATTCTGACCAAGTATGAGCCAAGGACCCGGATCAGAACTGTCTTAATGTCTGCTTTGAGTCATGAAGGAGACCGAGGCCTGAACCAGGCCAGGGAAATGCAGGTTTTAAACACACACGCTTTTGTTTTGCTCTTTTAAGACAAAGTCTTGGTATGACAGCCCAGACTGACCACAAACTAGATCCTTCTGCCACAGCCCCAAATACCAAGACCACAAATGCATGCCACTGTACCCGCCTCACAGTATTAACCAGTTAATTTGCCGCAAAAACAAAACAAAACCAATTATCAGTTTGTTTCCTTTAATATAGGACTCAGAATAAGAGATTGGGGGGGGGGGCTGGAAAGATGGCTCAGTAGTTAAAAACATTAAATGTTCTTGCAGAAGACCCAGGTTCAAATCCCAGCACCCACATGGCAGCTAACAACTGTCCATAACACCAGTTCCAGAGGATCCAACACCCTCTTCTGACCTCCGCAGGCATTGCATGACACAGGTGCACTTACACACATGCAAGCAATACATACACATAAAATAAAAATAAATAAAATACTTTAAAAATAAATAAGAAGCTGGGTGTGGTGGCACACGCACTCAGGAGGCAGAGTCAGGCAGATCTCTGTGAGTTCAAGGCCAGCCTGGTCTACATAGCGAGTTCCAGGACAGCTGGGGCTACAGAGAGACCCTGTCTCAAAAAGACCAAAAAGAAAAAGAAAAAAAGATCCAAGGGCCCAGAGGAACTGCCTATTTTTTAAGGGTTTTTTGTTTTACTTACTTATTTTTATTTTATGTGTGAGTGTTTAGCCTGCATGTGTAAGTGCACCAATGTTGGTCATGCAATGCTTGCAGAAGCCAGAAGAGCGCATTGGATCCCCTGGAACTGGAATTATGGACAGTTGTTAGCTGCCCTGTAGGTGCTAGGATTAGAACCTGGGTTCTCTGTAAGAGCAGCCAAAGCTCTTAACCACTCAGTCATCTCTCCAGCCCCTTTAAGTTTTATTTTTACTCATGTGTGTGTCTTTGTGTATGCCACATGTATGTAGGTGTCCTCAGAGACCAGAAGAGGAGCCAGAGTCCCTGAAGCTGGAGTTACAGGTGGTTGTTAGTCACCATGTAGATGCTGGGAACCAAACCCAAGTCCTTTGCGAGAGTAGCCAGTGCTCTTAACTGCTGAGCCATCTTTCTAGTTCCAGGTGGCCTCTTGTGTTCAGTGGTGGCTAGGCCTGCAGGGAGCATTCGGAGCAGCACAGCTTTGCAGCTAGAGGTAGCTGGAAGCCCTGCCTGCCCCGTCCCTGCCCCAGGGCCTGGCCGCTGGGTACCCACCCTGACTTGGGGTCACGTGGTACATTCCTAGGGATACGGAGCCATCAGTAAAGACTTTGAAGAAGAGATTGAGATCCCACTTGACTACATACTCCAGGGGTCTGCTTTGAGACCGTTTGGTCATGTGCATGACTGTAGGCCAACATGTTCAGAGATGACAGTGTATGTCACAGTGTGAAAGCCTGGCAGCCCTGGTTTAAGCCATCTTAAGGTTTCTCAAGCCCCAGAATGCCCATGTACTGTGTATAAAAGAAGACTTAACATGATCTTCCTGACACCAAACAGCACCACCCATCAGTGCATCCATAAGGCCTGTCTGGGAGCCCTTCTTGGGCTGTGCCCATCTGTATGTCTTAGCTCCCATTTCATTGTGGTCTGGGGAGGGTACAGGGCTATTTAAATGGCTTGTCCCCGATTGTGGTGGGGGCTCCTGTGGTCACAGAGCCTGGTGTCATCTTTTCTTCCCAACTGTGTTCCTCTTCCAGATTGACTCATGGTGCAAAGATAACAGTTATGTGATCGCCGGATATTACCAAGCTAACGAGCGAGTGAGAGACGCCAGGTATGTGGGTGCAGACCCTGGGCTGGGGCTGAGACGGCACATCCTGTTGCTGAATGCTCTTGCCCCTTCGCCCACTGCTTTATGTGTGTGGGGACAACTGGCCTGATGTCCAAGTGAGGGAAATTTGAACGTCACCTTCCACACTGTTCTGGTCGAGGCTCCTCTGTTGTCCGGGAGGGAGCCCTCTGCTTGCTGCCTCCCACTCCCAAACTAGGGCTGCGTAGGACAAAGCGGCTCTCTTTTGGGTGAGTAAAATGGCTTTGGGTTTGCTGCTTTTAGGACAGTACCACTGTGAAAACGTCTCTGCCACTCCAGGCCCTGGGCCCACCCCTGAGTTCCTGAGCGGCCTCAGTCCTTTGTCTGTCTTGTGTCAGTCTGGGTCCCAAGAACAGAGCAGAGGCCCCTTAGGTCTGGGTGGTGTACAGAGCTCAGGGGGGGCTATTCCCACCAGCCAAGCCCAGGTAAAAGAACTCAGAGCTTCATGTAGAGCCCATGCCGTTTTTGACGGCAGCCATTCCCTCCGTCTCTTGGCCCTCCGGCCCGTGGGGAAGCTGGTAAAGAAGTCCGCCTCCAGCAGCAGAACACGGCAGCAGCCAGCAGACGGCTCAGGAAGAGTGCAGCTCAGCTGGCTCTGCTGTTCTTCCATACCCTCTGCTGGCCTCCAGCTGCTTTCTCAGCTGAAGCTGGCTGGAAACCCGGCCATCACCTGCACTGTAAGGGTCTCTTTCTGGGAGCAGACGGAGCCGTCAGACCCCAGTGTGCGAGGGCCCCAGTGGCCACATGGCATGGATGAGTGCTGTCTCGGGAGCTGTCCTGAAAGTAACATAGTGGCCAGTGACCCACCATTGCTGCCACTGATGAGCCTCGGGGTGCTCAGAGTTGTGCCGTTTCATCCTTAGAGGCCTGGCAAGCAGGAAGTGAGGGAGGTGGCCGCCAGCAAGGCCAGCCTCTGCTTGTCCTGCTCCATCTGCTTCCAGCCCTCAGTGGTGCTTGTTTCTCGTCTGTCGGCATGGCTCCTGCTAACCTTATGAGTTCTACTGTCCAGTTTCATGTGCCCACTTTGTGCGGGTGACAGCGCTTGTCACAAGACCACCTCTACATGAAAATCACTGTGGGGGAAGCTGGGTGCAGAGCACTGTGCAAATTCCTTAAGAGTGGACAGGTGTGAGGACCAGGGATCACCCATCCTAAGAGACACGGTAGACAGGGCGCACCACATGCGGTGGGGGCGGGGGGTGGTAAGGAAGAGTTGTTGTGGATCCCCAAAGCACCCTGGATCCTGTGGCTGCAGCAGGGAGGAGGGCTAGCCTGGACTAACTCTTAACACTTGTAAAGTCGGTGCTCATATGAACACCTGGCCTGCAGCTGTCAAGGGGGTTTAGCAGGGTGGTCCCTGACTTCAGGTGCCCATCCTGTTCTGAGCAGCTGATCTGAGTGTGGGTGTCACAGCCGCATGTTTAGGAGTCATTCTGATGTGAGAATGAGCAGTGGGTGGCCGTCAGGTGCTTTGACAGCTCATACCTACATATTTTAGTTTCTCTCGGACTCACGTGTGTACATATGCATAGAGCATTAACCCCATTTAAAGACGGTCTCCAGTTTGGCCTGGAACTTCTGTGTAGCCTAGGCTAACCTCAAACCCTCAGCACTCCTTTGCCTCAGTCTCTTGAGTGCTAGGATTAACAGGCGTGAGCCCCCATGCCCAGCTTTGAAGTATCATTTTAAATTAGACTTCCTGGGCACCCTGAATGGGAGTTTCTGTTTTTCCTGAATGATCTGGACTCCCTCGCCTCCTTGTGTGTTCATTGAAGCTGCCTAGAAGAAGCTCCTGGACTCTCCACAGCAGGTGCTCAGCACACACCAGCCCACCCCATGCCAGGGCTGAGTAGTGGACCTGCACAGGCGGCCAGAGTTGGTGGCATCTGATGAGCTGCGGTTAGCAGCAGAAAGTGGAGTCGGGGGTCTGCTCTTACTGCTCCCAGCCTTGCCCAGCAGAGCTGCAGGGATCTGCACTCCTGGCTCCTGGTCAGCTTTGTGAAACGTGGTCTTCCTTTTGGCCGGGGACCAGCTCGTATTGACTCTAAGCTCTGTTTGCTTCCAGCAGGAAAACCTGCCCTTCTCTCTTGTGTTTGATCTTCCTTCACATCACAGTGCAGGCTTACTGATCAGTTTGTCTGAGGCAGTGCTGGGATTGAACCCAGGACTCTGTGCTTGCTAGGCAAGTGCTCTACCCCTGGACTAAATCCCCAGCCTCATGCATCACTTCATTTTCAGTTTTTAAGATGAAAAGAGAATAGCCATGTAAATTTTTTTAATATTTTATATATTATTTTATGTGTATGAGTGTATTGCCTGCATGTATGTGATTGCACCCATGTCGTGCAATGCCGCGGAGGTCAGAAGAGGGCTTCGGATTCCCCTGGAACTGGAGTTAAGGACGGTTCGTAGCCGCCATGTGGGTGCTGGGAACCGAACCCGGGTCCTCTGCAAGGGCAGTCAGTGCTCTTAACCGCTGAGCCATCTCTCCAGCCCCAATAGTTTGCTTTTGTAAAGAGTATTTGATTCACAGTACTGAGGAGCAGACCCAGGCCTTGGGCATGCTAGACAGATCTCTCACCACTGAGCTGCATCCCCAGCCTCTGTGGTGTTTCCTTCAACAGACTGAATAGTAAATGTATTATACAATGATTAAAATATGGGTGTGGCTCAGCCCCTTCAACAGCTGAAACTGAATTGATGAGGTGCGGGTGGGAAACGCTGTGTGCCAAGGCCTCCCTGTTGGAGCATTACAGACATGGACTCCAGAGCTTGGAGAGAAGTGGCCCTGACTGGTGGCTTCCTTTCACAGAGGGTGGCATGTTTTCCGGGCATTAAGAGACAAGAAGGAATTCAGCAAGCACCTTTGTCCACAGCAGTGGAGAGCAGTGTCTGTAGGTCTGAGCTACAGCAGACACCGCAGTTCTGTCTTAGGGAGACTGACCTAAAGGGTGGACACAGGACAAGAGCCAGAGTGAGGCCAGTTAGGAAGCAGCTATGGAAGCCCAAGCCTGCACTGACAGCCTGGACCAAGCAGGCAGCAAGGGGTTGGGGGCAAGGAGTAAGGAACACAGCAGCCTCCGGTCAGAGGGGCCAGAGCTGCACCAGCCCCTCCAGATGTGTTGGGCTTCGTCCAGGAGGCTTGTGATGGGATGGCGGTTACTGGACCACTAGATTAGAAGGCTGAGATGCTGGTCTACAGCGCAGAGTGGGCAGCCGATAGACTGGTGACAACATGCAGCAAGAGGCCACTCATTGAAAAAGCTTGAGAAAGGCGGCTGGGAGCCAGGCATGGTGGTGCACACCTGGAATCCAATCCCAGCATTCAGGAGATAGAGGCAGGATTGGCAGTTCAAGACCAAATTGGGCTGATCAAGACTGTCTTTAAAATAAAAAGCATGTAGGATGGAAGGGGCAGGCTGGGTGTTGGCTGGAGGAAGCCAGTTAAATGCCCCCCCACATTAAAGAGATTGATAACAGATTTGAAGGCAGAGCTGAAGCTCCAGCGTTGGGTGTCAGCTCAGAGAAAAGGCCAGAGCGAAGGCCACAGTGGGCAGGTGGGCATAGGGGCTGGAGGAAGCCCATTAACAGTAGGCTTGAGGGATGGGGACAGCCGAGCATGTGGGAGCTGCTGTCATCAGCTCTGTCCACAGACAGGGAAGGCATTCGTGCAGCTGGGTGGCACCAGAACCAGAGCCCACAGCGAAGCTCACAGCAGAGGGGAGGGCAGAAATGACTTCTCTTAAAAAAGTGATCTCAGGGTTGGAGAGATGGCTCAGTGGTTAAGAACACTGGCTGTTCTTGTACAGGACCCAGGTTCGAATCCCAGCACCTACATGGCAGCTAACAACTGTCCGAAACTCCAGTTCCAGGGGATCCGACAGCCTCTTCTGTCCTCCGCAGGCATTGCACGACACTGCACATTCCTATATGCTGGCAATACACGTATACACATAAAGTAAAAATAATTTTTTTTTTAAGTGGTCTCAAAGGTGACTTGGTTGCCAGTGGCCCTGGGCCTCTTCTGACTAGTACAGCAGACAACGCACTTGGGTAGCAGGCACCCGGCCAGTTTGGGCTCCAGCCAGGCCTGGCCACCAGCACCCTCTGCAGATTCTCCAAATGCCTCAGGTGACCCTTCCCTGTCAGAAGATGTCCCCAGGGTCCGATCTACAAGGGCCCACTATGGGCAGGGTACCACACGGACCGGGTGGTATTCAGGGGCTCTCAGTTCAGCTCAGCGGGGGCAACTCACATAACTTTTTGGCTCTGTTAATTCAGATGGTAACTACTGATGGGGACAGGGTTTATTTTTAGTTTATGAGTGTTTTGCCTACAGAAATTTGAGTGCACCCATGTGTGCCATGTCCACAGAGACCAGAAGACGGTGTCAGATCCTGGAACTGGGGTTATGGATAGTTGTTAGCCATCCTGTGGGTGCTGGAAACTGACCCCTGTCTCCAGCCCCCGTGCGACAGTGATGGCTTACCCAGAACGTGGTAAACTCACAGGTCCTTCCCTGTAGCCCAAACCAGGTGGCAGAGAAGGTGGCCTCCAGGATTGCCGAGGGCTTCAGCGACACTGCACTCATCATGGTGAGTCACCTCATGCTGCAGCCCAGGTGCAGCACGGTCGGGGGAGGGGCTCTTTAGCTCCAGCAGCCCTGGGAACCTGTTATGGAGGCAAGTTCTCAGCCCCTCCCCAGCCATGCTGAACCCAGAACCCTGGGGCAGCCCAGCAGTGTGAGGACCAAAAGAAGAGCCCGTGTGGCCTTGGGTGGGAACAGGCCTGGTATAGACTTGTAGGAGCGAGGGAGGACATCAGGAAGCCCTTCACGCTCGCCTGCTTTCCCTCAGCCAAGATCTCTCTGGCTGTCAAGAGTACCCTGCCACTGCGCCATGGGGCCCAGGAAGATCTTGTGCCCTCCTCAGCCCTGTCCTCACACTTCTCACGCCCCACCTCAGGTAGACAACACCAAGTTCACGGTGGACTGCGTAGCACCCACCATCCACGTGTACGAGCATCACGAGAACAGGTGGCGGTGCCGAGACCCACATCAGTGAGTGGGGGGGTCGGGCTGTCATGGGACGGGAACCTGGGTTTGGCTCGTGGTTTCTGATCGCACAGTGCTGCGGCTGTGTGCCTCCAGCCCCAGCGTCCCATTTGGAGGGGACCCTCCCATCTATGTGGGTCCATCCTGGTATCCTGGTGTGTGGCCCATCCTGTCCCTACTGGCTGCCCCGAGTTGTCTCGGGCAGGTGTGACGTGGTTGTCTGCACCACAGTGACTACTGTGAGGACTGGCCAGAGGCACAGAGGATCTCGGCATCGCTCCTAGACAGCCGCTCCTACGAGATGCTGGTGGACTTCGATAACCACCTGGATGATATTCGGAACGACTGGACGAACCCTGAGATCAACAAGGCAGTCTTGCACCTGTGCTAGACCAGCTGCTGGCCTCCCCTGCAGAGAAGAAACCTGTTTTTAAAGGGAGACCGAATGGACCGTGTGCTGCTACACAGCCTAGCGGGAAGCTGTGAGCCAGCTGCTGAGCCTCAGAAGCTGGGGACTGCCCACCTCCTTCAGGGCCAGGCTGTGGAGGAGGCTCAGCCCCTCGGTCCTTAGTCCTGTGTTCCTCCAGCCCTCCAAATCAAAGCTATTTCTGCTTATCCGGGGTTGTTCCTATTAAACAGTTTTAACTAACCTTTTATAATCTGGGGAGAATTACTTTCCAAATCTTACAAACTATTAAAAAAGTCCAGGTCTTTCTCCCACGTGTTGTGACTTTCCCCGGCTCAGCCAGCCTCCAGGTGTCCAGAGTCTGAAACTGCAGGAGCCACCACCCAAGAGACCGAGCTGCTGTTGGCCAGGAGCCATACTGCATCACAGGCAGCTCAGAGCCACCCCAGCTGCCATGGGAATAACCAGCAGTTGCCTGAGAAACCTCATCGTGGGGTGAACACAAACATGGGTTAGTGGGAGCAGACCTGTGTCCTGTGTCCGAGGGGAGGGAAGGAAGCCGTCTGGCTGTGAGCGGTTCCCCGGGCGGGGCAGACCGCACTCACCTGGTCCGTGCCCCGCTCACAGAGTCTCATCTCAGTCTTTAAATAAAAGCTGCTTTGGTACTCAAAATAAGCAGAAAAGCCTCAGTGTCCCCAAGTTGTCCAAAGCAATGAGACTCATGCCTGGAACACTTGACAGAGCATTCTGCCCATCTTAGGAACATGGCGCCTTCTGGTTTGCATTATTTCCTTTTCATGTGAACTTTTATGTGTACGAGTGTATTGGGTGTATGTAAGTGCACCCGTGTCATGCAATACCCACAAAGGTCAGAAGAGGGTGTCAGATGGTCGTTAGCCACCATGTGGTGCTGGGAACTGAACCCAGGTCCTCTGCAAGAGCAGCTCTCCTAAGTCTTCACCTGGCTCAGCCCTGCTGAGACTCCCTCTCTCGGCTCCCCCATCTCCCAGGTCAGAGAGTAGGAACACAGAGCCACCAGACCCACACTCACACTCTGGTGTGATCCACACTTGGAATCTTACGACTGGGAGGTTACAGCAGAGGGAGCACACATTTGAGGCAGGTTGACATCAAAGAGAGTTTCAGGCCAGCCTAGAGGTGAGAATTTGTCATCATAAAAAAAACCTTGATCAAAATATTCTTAGCTAATTCTGAAATCTGAATGGGGAAGTATGTTTGTGTCAGCTGTACACAAAGCACTCTGGAAGATTTGGTTGTCCTGGGGAAACCTAGGGCCTCACACATGTGCTTCACCAGCCTCCATGGACGTTGCTATCACTACAGTATCTACTAATTATGATTTCTGATCACAGTTGCCGTTAAGATTTAAGGGTACTGTGTGCAACGTGGTATACACCTTAAATCCCAGTGCTCAGCAGGCTGAAGCAGGAGGACTGCCACAAGTTTAAGGCTGGCCTACGCTATGTAGTGAGTTCTAGGCCAGCGTGAGGCCAGAATGAGACAGTATGAAGGGGGGGGGGGGGATTAATGTGGGGAAAAAAGGAATTAATGTGGGAAAAATAGGCCACAACTGTAAACAGCAAAGCCATGTGCTTTGGGAAAGCTGACTTTGCTTATTCTAGTGAAATTAGATGCTTAGGATAGAAAGGAACTTGGGTAATTTAATTTCAAGTCGGGGTTGGTGTTTTAAACTAAAGTAGAAAGTGTTTGAAGGGTCAGCAAGAGGGCTCAGCAGGTAAAGGTACCTGCTGCCAAGCTGACGACCTGTGTTCCAGTCCCAGGACCCACAGGGTGGAGGGAGAGAACTGACTCTTACAAGTCGTCCTCTGACCTCCACACATGCACTGAAACGTACACACACACACACACACAGAGAAATGTAGTTTTTAAAAGTCTGTATATTTAAAAGACCAGCTGATTAAAGGTGCACACTTTTAATCCCAGCACTCGGGAGGCAGAGGCAGGCGGATCTACATAGTGAGTTCCAGGCCAGCTGGGGCTACAGGGAGACCCTGTCTCAAAAGACCAAAAAAAGGGTCTGTATAATTAGTTATTTACTCTAGGAGTTTATTTTCAGATGTCTGGAGAAACCTGTTATTTCTGTGCTCTGGGATTTCTCCAGTTCCCACATCTGCTTCTGTGATTTTTGCCTTCTAAGGAAAATAGGTCCCTGCCCTTCCAGTCTGACGCTCCAAGTATCTCCGCACAGTGGCTGCTCTATGGCCTCGGGCATCGCACTCCCTACACAGGAGCAATTTTAGAGCAGAACTGAATTAAGGCTGGGGGACTAGAAAGAGGCTCAGCAGTTAGGAGCACCGGTTGCTCTTGCAGAGTACCGGGTTCAGTTCTCAGCATCCACATGGTGGCTAACACCCATTGGTAACTCCAGTTCCAGGGACTCTGATGCCCTCTTTTGACCTCCACAGGCACTGCACACACACACAGTGCACTTACATACATGCAGGCAAAACACTCATACACAATTTTTTTAATGGAGAAGGAAGAGGAGGGGGAAGAAGAGGAGGAGTTCAGTGTGGTAGCACAATCCTTTCATTCCATAGTGAGTTCCTGGCTAGCCAGGGCTACACAGTGAGACCATGTCTCAAAAATTGTTAAAAAGACCCAAGCCTTTAATTCCAGGACTTGGGAGGCGGAGGCAGGCGGATATCTGTGAGTTCGAGGCCAGCCTGGTCTACATAGCAAGTTCCAGGCCAGGGAGACCCTGTCTCAAAAAGACCAAAAAAAAAAAAAAAAAATTAAGAGACTAAATGTTTTCCTTACTGATTAGCATTCCTTGAGGCATCTGTCAGAGCTCCAGATGTCCCAAGCATTGGACTGTTTTTTCTCAAGTTTAATAAAAAGTTCAGTGGGAGGAAATATTGTTACCCAGAAGACACAGGTATGAATTTGTATGCTTCAGAATTCAAGGGATGACGAAAGTGTGTGTGTGTATGTGTACACAGTGTGCATGTGTGTATGAGTATATATGTGCATGTGTTTTCATATGTATGTGTGTGCCGTGCTGGAAATGGAACCCAGGCCTCAGTCTGTGCAGTGGGCAGTCCACCAGGCTTTTCTCCGCCCCTTGTATCTGCTCCTGCCCCTCCCTGGTACCTGTGATGTCCTCCACCAGTAAGTGCCATTTCCTGGAAGCCACGTTGGACTTCTTTCCAAAGGGTCAGCTTCCTGGAGAGCTGCCAGTGTAGTGACCCAGCACAGCTTCAGGGTGACCAGGAACTCTTCTCTGTGGCCGCTTCTTTCCAGGCAGTGACTCGTGCAGGCCCAGCCTGGCCTTGACCCCGGATGGGGCGCCCTTGGCTCCTGCTGCGTTGTCTTGTAAAGGGGAATAGCAGGCCGTGCTTAATGCTGACTGGGAAAATTCCAGATAACAGCAGGTCTGTGAAGAAATGCCCTTCAGAATACTCACAAGACCCATGGGCAGATCCCCTGCCCTCTGAAGCCATCAGCCTTCAGCAGTGCGGCGCACTCGGCTCTGCTCCAGCCTCGGGACCCAGCGACACCCCAGGTCCTGCCCCATCCACCTGGGCGGGAGCTGAGTATTTCTGAGGCTGAAGACTCCTGGGCCTCCCACAGGCCTGGCCTCCTGTGCAGATGAGCGCTGTCAACCCGACACCAAGCAGAGTCACCTGGAAAGCAAGCCTCCATTGATGCCTCCATCCAGCTGCCCGGGGGGCGTCTGTGGCGCGTTTCCTTGATTGGTGATTGTTACAGGAGCGCTCAGCCCACCTTGGGTCCGGGCAGAAAGGTCGCTGAGCAAGCCGGGAGGAGCAAGCCAGGAAGCAGCATCCTCCGTGGCCTCTGCCTCTGCCTCGGTTCCTGCCCCGACTCCCCTCAACGATGGACTGTGAGTCACATAAACCCTTTCGGCCCCAAGCTGGTTTGGGGCAGTTTTATCACAGCAACAGGAAACCAGACTGGAGCGCTGCATTTGGAGATGGTTCAGAGCATGTCGGCTGGTGCACACAGCTCCGGTCCACAGCGGCTGGTCCAGGGCGTGTCGGATGAGCCCCAGCTGCCTGTTTGGCTTATACAGGACCCTAAGTGTGGGACCCAGTACCGCAAAAGAAAAACCAAGACCACACCTTTCTCCACAACCCAGGCCCTTCTCTACTACAAAATCAGTGTAAGCAATCAGAAAGAAACCAACATTACTGCAGTTCGGCCGTGTCGTCGTCCCCCCCAATTAATAAAGACTCAGTGGTCAGAGCACTAGCTCCTTGAGAATAACTGTACTGCCTGGTATTTCCCCAAGCAGGGCTGGAAGGCTCGGTGCCCATGGCTGGGGACCTGGCAAGGTAAAAAAGAAGAAAAAGAATTGCAGGTGATGCTGCCTCCAGCCTAGAGAACTAAGATTCACCGACTGCAGGGGCCCAAGCCTGCACAGCTGGGTTCATGGTTCTTGTTGAACTGTCTCCTTCTTTAGTGCCCATGTAGTGCAGGCTGGCCTCGAACTCACAATTCTCCTGCATCAGCATCCTGAGGCCAGGGGCAAGACAGGTACCACCACGCCTGGATTCTTGGGACAAACTTTTTTTTCTTAAGGTTTCTCTGTGCAGCCCTGGCTGGCCTGGAACTCTGTGTAGACCAGGCTGGTCTTGACTTCACAGAGATATGCCTGTCTCTGCCTCCCCAAGTGCTTGGATTAAAGGCATGGGCCATCAGACACAGCCCTGGGCTACATTGCTAATAGGGCATTAACACTAATCTTTGAGCACACTCACATTTCACTGATGAACTTCAGGTCTGCAGTGATAAAACCACTCACTCTTTAATGGCAGCCCAGCAATGCCCTGGGGCCCTGCGCCTGAGTGCACTGTGTGCCCTGGAGGCCCCCATGGGTTGTGACTGAGGCCAGCTGCGGGCAGGCTCCTGCAGCCTGCATTTTCCATGGTGGACTGTAACCTTGAACCTTTAACAGGCTGCACCCAGAAGGCACACAAAACTGTGTTCCTGTTGAAACTAGAGATGCCCAGTGGAGGAAGGACAGGCTTCCCTCCGTCACATTCTGCAAGGAAAGACCTAGTTGTTAGTCTCCAATCTGCTTGTACTTTCAGCCTCCAGCAGCTCTGTAGCAAAGCATCTCGGTGCAGCTGACTCGTTCTCCAGGACCCTGTGTCTTGTCCCTGCAGGATCCACCCTAGAGACATAGAGATAATAGCCTGTTTTTGTTCAAAGGTTATTTTAAATTTTGATTTATTTTATGTATATGAGTATTTTGCTGGCATGTAAGTGAGTGTACCCATGTTGTACAACACCCATGGAGGCCA